TGCAGTATGCGTTTTTGCTGCCTGTTGCAGCGCTCTAGCGCTGCACGGCAAAAACGCACAAAAATTCGAATTTTATCCGGATACTGTACAAACATTGTTCACGAGCGTCACTTGCAGAAAAGGTCATCCAGAGGTCACCACGCCGCGACCGCAATGCACTGCGTTGCGGTTTTATGGCTGCGCAATGAATGCAGCGCGGTCATCAATAAGAGTTTCGTTGTGGCAGCAGTCGAAGGCTTATGTAGGTAGCTTGGGCGGAAGGGATAGGGGGAGGGGAGCGGGGGAACGGTGAAGAAGGAGGGAGGAAGCGGGGTTCTTAACGGCGAGGAGCGGGGTAGGGAAAATGGGTCCACTGGTGCGGGGACGAATGGGGTGGGATGACAGTGGGCCCCTTCATATTTAGCGTTAAACCCGGACTTTTTTAGCACTGGTGCCTACGCCGCTGGGTGGGAGGGGAACGAAAGACTTATCGCCCTCCTCCTGGATCCACGTATAGTGAAGGGGACGTGTTGGAGGTTTGGGAAAGGGCGATAGAACCGTTGCAGTTTGAGCGTATGCTAAAGATTAGAGCAAGGAGTAAGAGCAGGGAAGGTAACTATTTTCCAACCTTTTTTAGCCGTTTCAGATAACATTTTTCTGACTCAGATAATATAGAGAGTGCGGGTATTATAGGGTTCGAAGATACCTGTACACTATAGTATGTTTCCCCCGACCTATATAATATATGAGGCGGAAGGATGCTTCATATATTTACAGAGTTCGTGAATACGTGGCATAAACAGACGACAACATCTGTAATATACGTATATAAAATTTTCTAAAATTTGACGATTATCGTTAAATATTTGTTTTAGCAATCTACTGCTCATCAAATCTACAAAATAAATTGATTGGTTACGTTTGAGAAGAAAACTCGGGAATGTCTTCTGCACCGGACGACACAATCAGTATAACTGAATTATCCTGTCCGGAAACACCGAAGTTTACGAAGCCATGGCATGAAGATGTCTTCAGCAAATTGCGTTCCTATATAATTGTCGAACTTGTGAGAGCGATCTACCCGACGTTTGAGTCAGCGATAAAGCATGATCCGAGAACAATTGAAGCGCTGTTTGAGACTATGCGAGAAACGGAACTAGTAATGTTTGAAAATTCCAATGATGAGGTATAGGCATTTTTTGTTTTGAATTGTTGCTCTTCTCTCACCACAGTTCTTAAAAGCGGCGGGAATTAGCTGTCGAAGTGAGAAAACAAGTGCACAGTGGTCGAAAATTTAATTCGGGGATCTCAAATTTTGCGTTGAAACGCAAAATTCAAGGGAAATAGTAACACAATTGCACAGAAAAGCAAGAAACCACTAAATTCGGAAGACTTCGGATTGGAAGAATGAGCGCTTTTAGGAACTGTTAATTTTTACGTGTTTTTGCAAACTGCATTTTCTGATTCTGTTATGAAAAATACCATGGCTGATCCGAATGTCAGTATGGGTATCCCATGTTAGTGACGTTACGGGGACACTCGCACTTGTCGATCGCAGCTATGCCAGGCCCTTCATTTTGTTTCGAATAGTGAAGCAATGCAGTGATTTATTTATTGCGACAGGTTACAAATCCCTCACGGATTTTTTGCAACGGGCTCACCCAAGGTTATAATGCCCCTTGTACACATTTTTGCTGCTGCTGCTGTGTGTGTGTGTGTGATACTAGCAACTCTTTACGACTCGATCACTCGTTTCGAGGGGCTTTAGAAGAGGGAGCCACAATCTCGCTAAAGGGTGGTTGCTGTTGACAAGTGTTATCATTCGCATTGTTTTCAAAAGCATTTGTTTTTCATGTGTGAATACGAGGGAAGGGTTTTTGAATGTGGCCATTGTCGTACTGCTCCGTACAGCAGTTCATTGTTCCGGCAAAATCCTGTAAAAAATCCTAAAAAATTTTGGACAAGTAAAAAACGCTCTTCTGTTTTGCATTAACTTTTAAAAAATTAAA